AATGTGTGTGGAAAGAGAAATTATTCAATACTTAGTGTGGGGACTATAGATTTAGTTGATTGGATTAAAATTACACACACACACGTGTATGTGTGTGTATGCGGATAGATAGATGTATGTGTGTGTATTTCACCCCTTACACTATAATATAAAAATAAATGCAAAAAGTCTAGAAGTATGGTTAAATTTATTCATAATCTTTGAGTAGGAGAGATTAAGTAGATATCAAAAACCAGAAGGCTCAAAAGAAAAAAAGCATTAGATTTTATTACATATATATTTTAAACTTCTGTATGGCAAAAATATCATAAACAAAATGAAATGTGGAAAACAAATTGGGAAAATATATATAATGCTATGTCAAATACATATGTTATTTTCTTCGTCTACAAAGAAACTCAAGAAAGTCAATGAAAGGACAATACAAAATGAAAATCTGAAAGAATAGAAAGTTTCTAGAAAAAATATACAAGAGATGGATAAATGTACCTTAACCTTTGTCATAATAAAATAAAGTTATAGCAAGACAACAATTTTTGGCAAAAATGTCTAAGTTCAGTGATTGTAATGCTAGAGAGGTTATTAGGAAATACAGCACATTACTCTGTTTCTATTACTTATAACAAAATACATGGAACTGGGTATTTTGTAAATAAAACAAAATTTATTGCTTACAGTTTCTGAGCCTGGTAAGTCCAAAGTCCATGTGGTGGTGGTGACAGTGACCCAGGGGTCTCACATTGCAAGATGGTGGAAGCAGAGAGAGTGGAGAAAAAGACTCTCTTTTCTCTTCTTTTAAAGCCCTCAGAACCACACCCCTGACCACCATTTTTAATCCATTCACTATAGCACTGGCCTACAATCTAATCACTTCTTCAAGGCCCCACCTTTCAATGACCATAATAGGATTTTCCATCCTCTTAACAGTCACAGTGGGGACCAAGTTTCTAATACATAAAACTTGGGGGACACGATTCAAGCTTCAGTGAGTTTGGGGGGGACTTATTCAATCCACTACACACAGACTCAACTGTACTGGTAAAATATAAATGTATAACTTATTTCTTATGGGAAATTTAACAATCTCTATTAAAATAACAGAAAACTCAAGGTTTTTTTGATCTAGTATTGTAACTGTCAGGCATTTATCCTAAAAGCACAGTCCTTGAAATTCATAGAGATATTTGCATAATAATGTTCATCGCATCATTGTGAGCACAGTCCTTGAAATTCATAGGGATATTTGCATAATAATGTTCATCGCATCATTGTTTGCATTGACAATGAAAGCATCCGTCAAGAGTGGGCTGATTGAAAATATATCCTCATACCTTCATAATAAGAAACATAAAACACAACGTTGCGATTAAAAAGAATGAAAAGCACAGTCCTTGAAATTCATAGAGATATTTGCATAATAATGTTCATCGCATCATTGTTTGCATTGACAATGAAAGCATCCGTCAAGAGTGGGCTGATTGAAACTATATCCTCATACCTTCATAATAAGAAACATAAAACACAACGTTGCGATTAAAAAGAATGAAGTAGAGCTGTAAGAGAAAAACAAGGTGAATAACTGAAGGAAACAAGGAAGAAATTGTTATATGTATAACCAAGCAAGTTGGTATATGTATAACTATCATGATAACCTTATATACATATATGCAAATATAAATATACATATAATATTATCTAGAAAAATAGCCAAGCAATGTTAACAGTAGATAGATTTGTAAAGAGGAAACATGGCACTGTATAGAAGATGCTCACTTTTCTTTTCACAGCTTACCATATTATTAAAATGTTCTTCTCGTGCACATGTATTTTGTTTTTGTTTTTATTTAGTTTGTTAGTTTTTATAGGAAAGGCAATATCTAGGTCTGTGGATTATGGACCATTTTTTTGTTTCTTCTTTATATTCTTTAATATTAAAAAGAAGACACACTATTTAATGCTAATAATCAACTACCATTCAAAAGAAAGTAAGCTATCCCATATTTGTGATGTTTACTAAGGTTTATCCTAGAGAGACAAGCTGTCCCAGAGCAGATTTTGTCCCAAGAGGGGAGCGTCTTAGTTTTATTCATCTCTGTGGCCCCTGTACCACCTACCATACTGCATTGCACTTACAGGTATAAGATGTTCAATGCAATTTTGTCAAATGGAGACATTTTAAGATTGAATTAAGTTTTCATTTATTTTTCATGTAGTAAGCGTCTTAGTTTTATTCATCTCTGTGGCCCCTGTACCACCTACTATACTGCCTTGCACTTACAGGTATAAGATGTTCAATGCGATTTTGTCAAATGGAGACATTTTAAGATTGAATTAAGTTTTCATTTATTTTTCATGTAGTAAATTAATTGAAATTAACTATATAATTTTCTGCTCCATGCACATGAATCCAGATCTAGGCACATTTGTAAATAAACTGGTAATCTCTAAAATGAACCAATCCTAACTCAACATTTAATTTACAAAAATAAAACAAATAACCAATGTTGTTAATTTAGGTTTAGCAATCCCTTCATTATTAGCCATTATTGTATGACTTAAAAAAAAAAAACTTTCTTTGAAAAATGAACAGCTGGAATAAATAGGGATTCACTGGATGAATTCACAAAGGGAAACTGGAATAATAAGTTCTGAAGACTACAAGAATTTAAACCATTTTCAACAGTATGTTAAATTGGATTTTGTGATGCACCACGAAGAAACAAGCAGATAGCTAAGTACATTGTCAGACACGCAATGTTATAGCGTTTGCAAAATTTCAGAGTAGGAGGGCAGAGAGCTAGTTAAATGGCCTTAAGTCTACACTGAGGGCTAAAAAATTGTTGCAGACCAATGAACCTAGGAAGAAAGACTTGTACGAAGGACCTGTTTTGAAAAAGTTGTTGTGTGCCTCCTTCTCAAGTTCCGTGGAGAGAAGCAACAGAAGAACCCCTCAAGAGCTTAGTGTGTTGCCTCTGAGTTATTAGGGCCAAATGGACTATGATTGGTCCCTATTCAGGAAAAGCAGAGAACAAAGTAAGCAACTTACGAGCTGCTTTGGGGATAAAGTGAAAGCATGTGTCTGTATTGGGATTGGCCTGGGATGAAAAGAACTTGGACAAGATGTGGTTACAGAGGGAAGAGAGAGAGTGCCAGGCCGAAGCTTTTGTGTCTCCTGTCCAGCAGAACCACTGCGAGGCTAATGAGACTCCTACAGAGAGAATTTGCAGCGTGGACATCCAAGGGAAGCTGAGCAGGGAGCAGAGAGCTGGAGAAGAATACATCACCAGTGTCACAGTTGTGTTTTCAAACATTAAGAGTAGAGGCCTCTGGGGAGCCTAAGAAAGTTCCTAAGAAAGAAAGAGACCTGGTTTAGGGAGCACCAAGACATTTCAAGATAGTCAAATCAGAACTACCCTGTCTTCCTCGCCTCTCCCCCACCCATCCCTCACACTGACACTAGCAGGAGCAGAAGGGAAAGGCAGCAGGCTGAGGAAGGAGGTAAACTTCTAGAGAGGAAAGAGAAAAAAACATGAAGTGTCCCTCCCTCCTTACTCTGAAGAGTCCATTCTGCTGCAGGCTGGGACTGGAGAAAGGGACACAACTTAATGTTAATCTACATTTTGATTAAAGATTGATCATTGAATGAGAACTGCACATCCTAATTTCTGAATTGAGCTTCAATTTGCTACTTAAAGTGGATCCTGCATCCCTGTGACCTCATTTAATTAAGGAGGAAATTGGAGCTCAGAGAGTTTAAGATTTTTAGTTTTTGACAATTGCTACTCAATTTATTAATGAAAAGCCGAGAATATCAGCCACATTCCCATTATTGTATTGTACCCCTTTTTAAAAATAAAGACTGGTTTGATTTGATTTTTCTTTCTTTTTTTTTTTTTTTAAAGGAGTGAAGTCAAGAGTGAAAAGTTCCCACGGCCTTAAGTCTACCACAAATATGTGGCACCATAATAAAGCCTGTTGATGAACTGAATAAATTAACTTTCATTTTCTGGAGACAGTAAATTCAGTGTTTTGTCTGACTATATGGACCATGAACGATGTAGCATTTTATAGTATTTCTTTTATACATAATTCCATTTGCATATTATTAATATTTCCTGACTAGATTAAAAGTCTTGAATATGATTTTTGCCTGAAATGCTTCAGCCTGATGTCCCCTCTGGAGAATTATTTTCAGCCTTAATTAGCTTAACTGACAAGGCAGCCAAGATACTTGAAACAACAGGAAAAAAAAGCATATGAGGAAAAAAATAAGGTTTCAAATTTTATTGATAAAGAGAGCCTGAAACTCAGTAAATTATAAGTATGCAGTCCTGGAAAACTCATTCACTGTTTACTTTATTACCATTTCAAGTTTATAGTCAACCTTATTCAGTGTAGTTATGCTCCTTCCTGAAATGTTTTGAATAGGTTATTATTATGATCACCAACCTAAACTTTTTTAAGGCCTATATCGTCTTGAATACTTCAGTGTTTCATATTGTTAGAAACTTTTACTGTAAATAAACAAGTTTGCATTCTCTCTTCAGGTTGCTGTCAAAATCGGTTTTGTTCGTAGAAATAAACTGAACATTTAATTCTGTCCCCACCCTATATTCCTCCCAAAGTAAACCACTTGAATTATAAATCCATCCAAACTCCCTCTGGACCTTGGTTCATGAATTTCGGGAGTAAAATCTTTGTTATAGTCTTGGGAACTGTGTGGAATTCACATAATTTACTATTTCTTATGATTTGTCCAAATGCCATTCTTCCCAAGAGACCTTTTTTGCGCCATCAGGAGCACACACACCCCATAGATAATAACTTTAATTATCAGGAATATAAAAAATAGACTATAATTTAACAAGTTTACAAATGTGTTTAGTTTTATTAATTAAAACAAACGGATCCCTAGACCACCCTTTCCCCTATCAATTGTAGTCCACACCCTGCATATGACAAATAGACCCCAGTTTTATTTATTTATTTATTTTTGTGGCTGGCTGGTATGGGGATCTGAACCCTTGACCTTGGTGTTATCAGCACCATACTCTAACCAAGTGAGCTAACCAGCCAGCCACTTAGAACCCAGTTTTAAAGTATCATTAAAAATAACAGACCTAGGGCCGGCCCAGTGGCGCACTGGATAAGTGCGCCGCTTGGGAAGCGCGGCGGCGCTCCCGCCCGAGGGTTCGGATCCCACATGCAGACCGGTTCCCGCTCACTGGCTGAGCGAGGCGCGGGAGCAACACCGAGGGTTGCAATCCCATTGCCGGTCCCCGGTCCGGTACGGGGGCAACACTGAGGGTTGCGATCCGTTGCCAGACACGGAAAAAGACAAAAAGGAAAAAAATAAAAAAAAAATAAAAAAAAAAATAACAGACCTAGAGGGCCGGCCCGTGGCTCACTCGGGAGAGTGCGGTGCTGATAACACCAAGGCTGCGGGTTCGGATCCCATATAGGGATGGCCGGTTAGCTCACTTGGGAGAGCGTGGTGCTGACAACACCAAGTCAAGGGTTAAGATCCCCTTACCGGTCATCTTTTTTTAAAAAAAAAAATAACAGACCTAGAAATAGTGCACTCACCTACACATATTTGTGTCACTCAAAGAATTCTGATTTGCATTAAACTTGAAAGTGCTGAAAAGTTAACTTGATGCTTTTTAAAAATTCTTGTAAGTAATTTCAGATCTTATTTTTAAAAGAAAATGAAATATATTGCAAGAATTGGCATGATGTTAATGGCTTCTCCATTTTTCGCCTTTCTCATCAGCCTCCAGAGTCCTCATATTTCCTTTTGGGCACCAAAGGATTTCCCAACATTCTTGGTGAAGCTCCTTTTTTATGTAGCCAAAGGTATTAACTGAAAACCCA